GGGGGGGGGCGTCTGCGAATGTGCCTCGGGCCCCGGATGAGTTTGGACTTGGCGAGTGTTGCGGGTCCTGGTTGAGGACGGGGCAGCTGTGCTGCGCTGTGTTCGATGAGATCTGATGGGGGGATCTGCCAGCTGTCATGCTCTGCTGTCCGAATGGCATGCAGCCGCCGACCAAAAGCGCCGCGCCCCTGCAGGCTCGAGGAGGCGCTCAAGGCGGCTGCGGGGCGCAGGGCGGAGGAGGCGGCGCGGAGAGACCAGGTGCGGAGGACTGGGTTGGGCTGGAGGGCCGCACGGCACCGGGCGGCCAGCATGCAGCAGGGGTTGCAGTCAACGGGATTAATATGGGCTCTCCTTGCTCACATAGCACGAGCAAGCATATCTGAGCTTCTGCAGCAGTCCTGTTTTGACCCTGTGCTGGTATCTCGCTGCTTTTGACGCCGCCTGGCGCCCCCCCCCCTGCTGGCCCGTAGGTGCAGTTCCAATCCAGCGGCCTCCAGCTCCCCGCCGCCCCAACCGCCGGCCTCGGCCCCATGACCGGCCGGGCGCCCATCGGCGCCGCTGCCGCGGCCGCCGCCGCTGCCGCAGCGGCCGCCAAGGCGGGGCCGATGGGCGCCAAGCCGGGCGGGGGCGCGCCGCCGCGCGCGCCGATCAGCAGCAGCGACCCCCGGGTGGTGCAGGCGCAGGCGCTGGCGCAGGCGCTGGCCGCAAAGGGCGGCGCCCCGGCGGCGTCCGGGGCGGCGAAGCGCAGCAAGTGGGACGCGTGACTGTGCTGCGCGCTGGGCGGCGCGGTCCTGTGGCTCACTCGACTGATCAACGCTTGTTTGACCGTGCGTGCGTGTGTGTTTGTGTTCATGTGGTTTTTTGTCCTGACCCCCTGTTTGGCCTCGTCCACTGTTGCGCTCGCCGCTGCGACATGCGGCGCGCCGCTTTTTGCTTTGTTGTTGTGCTTGCTTGGTTTCAGGGTGGCGGTCTCGCTACAACGTGGGTAACCGTTTGCCCGCGCCTGCAGGCCCGCGGGTGGTGGCTGGTCGCAGCTACTTTCGTGCTTCTGGCTCCCAGAACTGCCATTTAGTATTGGATCCCATCGTGTCGGAAGGGTTGCGATGACTAACAGGGTGCGCCCATCGGGGGGGGGGGTGTGACATGTTAGGGCGTCGAAGCGACAGGCCAGTGCCTGCGTCCGCCTGTGTCCTGAAGCCGGCCCGTTTTGGTTGACTGTCGATGGCCAAAAGAGCGATTCCTGGGGGACAAGTGGACACTGAGAGGCAAGGTGGATCGCGGCGTGCAACTTGCGGCGTCACCTTCTTGTTTATTCACCGCTGATGACGTCACCCCGGCTGGCGCCGCACCGCCCCTGAACGCTGCACGAGGGTCTGCACCTGCAAGGGGCGCGTCGCCGCCGAGCTTGAGACATCAGCGGGCAACGCAAGCATGGGCGGCCGGGGCAACCGCGTGCCGACAATCATACTTGCTGGCGTGCTTCCGTTGCGTGAGCTTCATGCTCCTCACGGGGGCTGTTCTGCGATGTCCTTACAATTATACAGATGGCTGGTATGCTTGCAGAGGTGACAAGGATGGGTGCTGCGCACAGCCCACGCCCGCGCCCACACATGCGCTGTGTGGGTGGCGGCGGCGCGCTCGCCACCCGGTGTTTGTGGCACAAGCAATCGAGGGTTACAGGGGGGCAGGGGCCGCCGAGCACCTGCGAGTAAAAACTGGCAGTCACGCTTGCAACCGCTGCCGCTTAGCTTCCGGCTCGCCGGCCGCTGCGTGCGCGTCTCCGCCGTGACCAACCCCATGCTGGTGCTCCAAGCCGTCCCCAGGACCTGCCGCTGCCGCAGCTGGCGCTTGCTCGCCCTCCAACCCTCCCTTCCCATCCTCTCCTGCCCTTGCGCCCTCCCCGGCCGCCCCGCCCCCGCCAACAGCTGCGCCCTGGCCGCTCGCCGCCGGCCCCGCCTGCTCGACCGCATCCCCTTCTCCGGCCTCGCCACCGCCACCGCTGCCACCGCCGCCGCCGCTGCCGCCGGCGGCCGCCGGCCCGCCCTCGCCGCCCCCGTCGCTACTGACGACAGCTGCCGCGCCGCCCTCCCCGGCCTGCTTCCGCACTGGCAGCACTGCGGCCAGCACAGTCCCCCAGTCCGTGCTTGGGCCCTGGCCCTTGACTAAGAGCTCAACCACCTGGTTGACCGTGATGACCTGGCATGCGGGTGTAACATCGTTGGGTGACGGTCAACACCTCGCATGGGCTGGTGGGTGCGTGCCCTGAGTGCAGGCAACCCAACGTTCAGATCACGGACGCATGCAGGGCGGGTGACAGGTGACGGCGTTGTTCTGCCCTTGCAGCAAGCCGGCAGGTTCTCTGTCGCAGTCAAAGACTGCACGAGGAAAGATCGAAAACAAGTACGGTATGTGCGTGCGTTCGGATGGGCGAAAGCAGGCAGGCGCGCCGCACCGCGCTGGTGGAGAGCTGCAGGTGCTTCTGGATGGGCAGCCGCGCGTGAGCCACGCCCGCCTTTTCCGCCCGTTCCAGGCAGATGCGCTTGTGGCGGTTGCGGTCGACGATGCCGCCGATGACGTACACCTGACACACAAGAGATTGGTCATCGGCAGGGAGGCGGGGGCTTCAAACATCGCTCTGCTGTCTGATGCAGGCGGCAGGCCTGTTGCCCTACTACATGCCTTGGGTGGGGCACCAGGGGCCCAGCGCGCGCAGGTCAAGGTTGTGTGCAGGGGTGGGGGCCTGGGGTGGCGGCAGGTGCGCGGCTTGCCTTGGACGTGTCGATGGTCTGCAGCTCGTTGGGGGAGTCTGCAGTCAGGTACAACACATCTCCCAGGCACTCCTGGAGGTGCACACAGGCGTGCGAGGAGGCAACTTGGGGATGATAAGGTGCGACGGTGCAGCAGGACGATCAAGGTGGGCTGGTGGACCCAGGGCAGCAGCGGCAGCGCGAGTGTGCCAGAGGGCCGCGGCAGCGGAGGCGCTCCAGAGAGAGCAACAGCGCAGCCCGCACGGTGTGACATTGGGCCGGCGCCGGCCCCGCCCCCTGATCCCCCCTCCCGCTCTCCCCCGCAATCCTCAATGTACTCCCCTCGCCCACCCCTCAAGGCTGGTCAGAGGAAGGCCGGTCGGGTCTGCCACCATAGGGCCGACCCGCACCTTGAAGTGCTCCGCGTATGAGTCATCGCTGACTGTGAGAGCCCACTGCTCAACATGGGGCATCTGGGCGTGCAGCTGCTGCTTCACGAAGCCTGAGGCGCCCAGCAGGTGTAGGTGCGCCTGCTGCTGGCCCTTGGTGGCTATGCCGTATGAGAAGTTGATCTGGGACACGAGGCTCTTGACCTGGGAGTTGTGGTTGTTGGGTGTGTGGTCGGACGACAGTGTGTGTGCGTGCGAGCATGCTTGAATGCAACTGCGCACGCGTGTGTGTTCCTGGGATGCGTTTGTGTGTGTGTGTGTGTGTGTGTGTGTGTGTGTGTGTGTGTGTGTGCGCGCGTCGCACTGAGCTTGTAGTTGGGTTGACAGGGTTGGAGCCGTGGGTTGCGAGGGTAGATCACTTGCCAATTGCAACAACTTGAGACCCTCACACTCGCAGGGAGTCAGATGGGGTTGAGTAAGAGCGTGAGCGCAGATGGTGCGCAGCTCGCTTTCAGTGCGCTCGCACACCACTCTCCCTGGCGCCACCCCGTCGGGGCACGGGCCCGCCCTCGCGGCGGCGTACTGCGCTGCAGCTGCCGCACCAACTGCGAAGAAGGCATCCGAGCAAGCGCATCGCGGCTTGCGCGCGTCCTGGTCCCTCCCACGGGCCTCCAAAGGGGGGAGGGGCCTGAATCACCGCGCACCTCTGACACAGTCATCAGCCCGTCAAAATCGAGGTCGATGACGAGCCGCAGGGGGGCCTGCAGCGCCGCGCGCGCGTGCTCCTTCACGCGCGCCCGGTCCGCCACCGCAGCTTCGCGGGTGGCCTGCGGGGCAAGGCCGTGCGTGAAAGAGGTGGCAGCGAGCGATGAGGGTGACAGACAGAGCAGCAGCGGCAGCAGCAGCAGCAGCAGCAGCAGCGGCGGCAGCAGCAGCAGCGCCAGCAGCAGCAGCGGCAGCAGCAAGAAGAGAAGGAGAGGACGAACAAGGCGGGGGCAGCCATTCGCTACTCTTGCTGCGTGCTGACAGGTAGCCCTGCCAATAGCCTCATGGCTACAGGTGGCCGGCCGCCGCGCATGCAGCTGTCCCGTGCACATTTACCCCGCGCGTGCGTGGCAGGACGCCCGGCTCTACCCCGGCCGCCCCGCACCTTTCTCCGCTCCTCGTGCGCCGCCCGCTCCGCCTCGGTCATGCCCGAGAGCCGCGCCTGCGCCTCGACGCGCTTGCGCTCCTTCTCCTCCTCCCTCTTCCCCTTGGCGGCCACCTTTTTCAACTCCTTGTTCTCTTTGATTCTGTCATGGGGCGGCCGAGGGGCGGCGGCACCGCGTGGCGCGGCGCAGTGCAGAGGCATGGTGCAGCTGACAGACAGGCCAGGTGTGGGCCTGCCCGCCTTGCCAGCACCTGGGCTGCAATGGCTGTGCCTACATGCAGGCCATGCGAGACCATGCAAAGGCATGCGCTGGAGGAGGCGGCTCCACATGCTATCAAACGCTGCCTGCCATCCTGGCGCCACAGCGATCCAGGACCATGGCGGCGGGCCGACGGCTTGCGCGTACGCTGACCTCTGCGCCTTTGCAAGCTTCTTCTGCTGCCGCTTGGACAGGGCCTTGCCATCAGGACCCTCGAGTGCGACATCGGTGGCCTGCGTTGCCAAATAGACATGGGCTTGCAAGTGATGTCAAACCGACTTCGCCGGGATCTGGTCCGCGACTTGCCTCTTGTGAGCCCGCTGTATCATCGATCGGCTGTTGTGCTGAGGCCTCTTCTGCGTCCATTGGTGCTGCTGACACTGCTTTACCGTAGCACGGATGCGATCTCAGGAATTGCAACCAGGACTCAGAAGCAAGACAGACAACGCTACAACATATACAGTAAACATGCCATTCATTTCCGCCGTGGCCCTCTGTTGATGATTGGCAAAATCCCGCTAGTGACGCCGACACCGTTTCGTCCACTGGGTGCCGAAGCCGCGCCGCTCGCGACCGATGTGAACGACCGCACCCGCTGCTTCAGGTTGCCATCCGCCACGCTGCCGCCG